AAAAAAAAAAAAAAAAAAAGGGATCATACCACCCTATCAAATTACCCATGAAAGTTTTCACAGAACTAGAACAAATAATCCTAAAATGTATACAGAACCATAAAAGACCCAGAATTGCCAAAGCAATCCTGAGTAAAAAGAACAAAGCAGGAAGCATAACCCTCCTGCTTTGACTTCAGACAATACTACAAAGCTACAGTAATCAAAAGAGCATGGTATTGGCACAAAAAGAGACATACAGATCAATGGAACAGAATAGAGAACTCAGAAATAGACCCACACACCTATGGTCAATTAACCTTCGACAAAGGAGGCAAGAACATACAATGGAAAAAAGACAGTCTCTTCAGCAAGTGGTGTTAGGAAAGTTGGACAACTGCATGTAAATCAATGAAGTTAGAACACACCCTCACACAATACAGAAAAATAAACTCAAAATGGCTTAAAGACTTAAATATGAGACATGACACCATAAAACTCCTAGAAGAGAACACAGGCAAAACATTCTCTGACATAAATCATACTAATATTTTCTTATGTCAGTCTCCCAAGGCAATAGAAATAAAAGCAAAAATAAACAAATGGGAACTAATCAAACTTACAAATTTTGCACAGCAAAGGAAACCATAAACAAAACAAAAAGACAGCCTATGGACTGGGAGAAAACATTTGCAAATGAGGCGACCAACAAGGGCTTAATTTCCAAAATATACAAACAGCTCGTACAACTCAACAACAAAATAACAAACAACCCAATCAAAAAATGGGCAGAAGGTCTAAATAGACATTTCTCCAAAGAAGACATATAGATGGCCAACAGGCATGTGAAAAGATGCTCAACATCACTAATCAATAGAGAAATGCAAATCAAAACCACAATGAGGTATCACTTCACACCAGTCAAAATGGCCATTACAAAAAAATCTACAAATAACAAATGCTGGAGATGGTGTGGAGAAAAGGGAACACTCCTACACTGTTGGTGGGAATGTAAATTGGTATAAATGGAAAATGGTACGGACGTTCCTCAAAAAACTAAAAATAGAGTTGCCATATGATCCAGCAATCCCACTCCTGGGCACATATCTGGATAAAACTATAATCCAAAAAGATACATGCACCCCTATGTTCATAGCAGCACTACTCACAATAGCCAAAACATGGAAACAACCTAAATGTCCATCAACAGATGAATGGATAAAGAAGATGTGGTATACAATGGATATACGATGGAATATTACTCAGCCATAAATAATAATAATAATGCTATTTGCAGCAACACAGATGGACCTAGAGATTATCATACTAAGTGAAGTAAGTCAGAAAGAGAAAGGCAAATACCATATGATATCACTTATATGTGGAATCTAAAATATGACACAGGGACTTCCCTGGTGGTGGAGTGGTTAAGAATCTGCCTGCCAATGCAGGAGACATGGGTTTGAGCCCTAGTTCAGGAAGATCCCACATGCCTTGGAGCAACTAAGCCCCTGTGCCACAACTACTGAGCCTGCACTCTAGAGCCCATGAGCCACAACTACTGAAGCCTGCACGCCTAGAGCCCATGCTCCACAACAAGAGAAGCCACTGCAATGAGAAGCCCACGCATTGCAACGAAGAGTAGCCCTTGCTCGCCACACTAGAGAAAGCCCGCGTGCAGCAGTGAAGACCCAATGCAGCCAAAAATAAATAATAAATAAATTTAAAATAAATAAAGTATGACACAAATGAACTTATCTATGAAACAGAAGCAGACTCACAGACATAGAGAACAGACTTGTGGTTGCCAAGAGGGAGGGGGTGTGGGAGAGGGATGGATTCGGGGTATGGGATTAGTAGATGCAAACTATTACATAGAGAATGGATAAACAACAAGGTGCACAATACAATATTCAATATCCCATGATAAACCATAATGGAAAAGAATATGAAAAAGAATGTAAATATATGTATAACTGAATCACTTTGCTGTACAGCAGAAATTAACACAACATTGTAAATCAACTATACTTCAATAAAATAAATTTTAAAATAAATGGGATCATACCATACATGCTGTTCCAGTTCCTGTTTTCCATGTCATTAAATACAGATATAGATAAGCAATTTAAAATTTTTAAATTTCAATTCATATTTAATTTAAATTTATTCTTATAAATTTAATTTGGTAGGGTAGTATTTTAATAATTAGTAGTATTTTAGTAGTAAAGTTTTTTTGTTTTTTTTTTTTTGGCTGTGTTGGGTCTTTGTTGCTGTGTGCAGGCTTTCTCTAGTTGCTGTGAGCCAGGGCTACTCTTCATTGAGGTGCCCAGGCTTCTCATTGTGGTGGCTTCTCTCCTTATGGAGCAAAGGCTCTAGGCGCGCACGGGCTTCAGAAGTTGTGGCTCGCAGGCTCCACAGTTGTGGTTCTTGGGCTCTAGAGCACAGGCTCAGTAATTGTGGCGCACGGGCTTAGTCTCTCCGCGGCATGTGGGATCTTCCCATGTCCCCTGCATTGGCAGGCGGATTCTTAACCACTGCACCACCAGGGAAGCCCAGTAAAGTATTTTTTAAATTAATCTTAACCTTAATATTAGAGTAGTATTTTTTTTTTTTTTGCGGTACGCGGGCCTCTCACTGTTGTAGCCTCTCCCGTCGCGGAGCACAGGCTCTGGACGCGCAGGCTCGGCGGCCATGGCTCACGGGCCCAGCCGCTCCGCGGCATGTGGGATCTTCCCGGACCGGGACACGAACCCGTGTCCCCTGCATCGGCAGGCGGACTCTCAACCACTGCGCCACCAGGGAAGCCCTAGAGTAGTATTTTTAAGTATGTGTGTGCCACACTGTATTTACCCTTTCCTATGGATTACACTTCAGTTGTTTACAAATTGTCACCACTGTAACAGTCCTCATACATATATCTCTCCGTAGGGCTAATTCCTAGAAGTAGAATTTGTGAGTCAAAGGGAATGCAGAGCTTCCCTGGTGGCGGAGTGGTTGAGAGTCCGCCTGCAGATGCTAAGGGACATGGGTTCGTGCCCTGGTCCAGGAAGATCCCACATGCCGCGGAGCGGCTGGGCCCGTGAGCCATGGCCGCCGAGCCTACGCGTCCGGAGCCTGTTGCTCCGCAACGGGCGAGGCCACAACAGTGAGAGGCCCGCGTACCGCCAAAAAAAAAAAAAAAAAAAAAAAAAAGGGAATGCATATTTAACATTTTAAATTATTATTTTTTTTTTACTAATTATTACTCCCTATAGAAGTTTGTAAAAGAGCTCCTTTCCCCTCACTCTTGCCAGTGTAATTATCCTTCTTAACAGCCGCAAAATAATCTTGAATTGGTGCTCCAGTTTGGAGGCAAAGCCACCTTGTCCCCTAGGAACGTCAGGAGCTAAATGCCCCTGTCAAACGCGGCTACTGCTGCCAGATGGCGAGAGGGAGACGTGGGAGGACCGTGCCGCAGCCTCAGCCCGGGCTGGGTTGGCCGACGGCCGTCCGACCCAGTGCCCGCGAAGGCAGGGGAGGTAGAGGGCCAAACGGAGTGGGGAAAACAGGACCCGGACCCAGAGGACAGAAAGGCAAGGGCCAGAAGAGGAAGTTCCGCGATCCAAGGAAGAAGATGCGGGTCAGGTGAGGGAACTGAGGCCGCACGGTCTTACCAGCGCCCCGACCCGCTGTGCGCCCTGAGCGGCCACCGGGACCGCGGTAGGGATGAGGGGGCGGCTTGGACCCGCGCCCCCGAGAGCCTCCGAGGACCTCCCCGCGACCTTTGATCCTCCCGAGGGCGACGCAGGAGGGAAAAGCCAGGGCGGTCGGAATCTGACCCAGACCCTCGCGCCCCACCTACTGGCAGCGGACGCAAGGCAATTTACGGGACCTCTGTGCGTCTCAGCTAGTCTTCTATGAATACGGATCACTGCTGGGACCTACCCCGGGGAAGACTGTTGTGAGCGTTAATTGAGATAATATATGGTGGCTAGTATTTCTGTACACCTCTCTAGAAACACCACCACCACCCAACACAACGGGCTGCTTCCCTTCCTGGAGATTACGGTGGATGGAAGAGAAGATCTATCCCAGGACAGATTTACAGTGTTCCCTTCTCCCTATACCCTCTAGTCCATCGTCCCCAGTCGGGAAAGGGATGTTACAAAACCTGGTCCTCACTCTCTGGAAGCCTACGCTGAAACTGAAGGGGCATGAATGGTACACACGCAGGAAAATGATTTCAAATGCCTTAACCGGGTTCAAAATGGACAGCATCTGACAGTTCTCTTGGGAGAAGGGGTGCCAGCCCCTCCTGTCCAGCTGTGCACTCTGACAAAGTCTGGGATCTACCTGGCACAACCTGCTCACTTCCCTAGGCCAGTCCCAGTTGAAGGAGAGGCTGGTCACCCGGGGAAGGGGTGGGGGAGGGTCGGGGAGGGGGAGGGGCACGGCACTCTGTGTTGGCAGTTGCCATGGTTTTGCTCCGAGTTCTGAGTGTCAACCTGCCCACTCCCTGAGACACTCAGGTTCCAGAAGCAGTAGGTCAGAAGACCGAGGGGGCTGAGGAGTGCTACCTCTGGAGCCCATCGGCACACCTGTTGAGATGGAAGCCTTAGATGGACACGGGGGTGAAGGGCAGCAGCCACTAGAGAAGGTGCAGTGGGGTTGGGGATGTGAGGGAGTGAGGAAAGGAGGGCCCTGGAGGGGCTGGTTTGGGAAGGCAGAGAGTATGAACTCAAGGAAGGAGAGAAGAAAGAAAAAGGGTGAGGTACACGAGTTGGCAAGAGACTGAAAGAACAAGAGAAGGTTAATTCATTCAGACAGATGTTTATCGAGGACATATATATCTGGCAAGATGATGGGAAGGTTCTCGGCAAGATGATTGCTGTTTATGAAGATACACAGGCTCGGGTGTGTGTGTGTGTGCACGTGTGTTATGGTCTGTGAGGTCTGTCTGATTTGTGTGGTGTGTTTATGGAATTGATCAGCCAGAGTCCCCTCTCTCTCGGGTCTGGAGGAGCCTGTGTCCCGTTCCCTCTCCATCTTTCTCCCTCCCTTTCCCTGGTCTATCCCTTCAGAGTCTGGGCCTGGATCTTCCTTGTGCCCCCTGAACACAGGCAGGAATTAATGCTCACTTTTCTGAGAGGCTTTTGAAAGGTCAGGTGTGAATCTCGTGTCAGTCTAATCCTGTGCTATGACTTCAAGTATTATTCCACAGTCACTTCGTCGTTATTAATTTTCAGCTTTTTTTGCCCCAGCTTGCTGTCAGAAAGTTCCTTCTCATCATCACCATCACCGTCATACGCTTTCTGAGTGCCCATTAGCCCATGGGCCTGGGATTTTTAGGCACTCAATAAGTGCTGAATGAATGAGTAAATGAATCCCTAATCATTCCCTCCAAGGAGTTACTTCAACTTCTTGGTGCCGTTAGTGCTCTCATCTGTAACCAGGAATAATGATTTCTAGCCTCACAGAATCTGTGGGAGAATAGAATGGGTTAATGTTTATCAAGTGCTTTGCAAAGTTAGCTAGTATACTGTGCTACAATTACTATAAAAGAAATGGGTTGGGCGTTCCAGGTTTTCTAAGCTGGGATTCTCAGAGATGGTTTTCTTTGCCTGGGGCTCACTCACCTGAGTGCTGGCTCAAGGACGAGGTCACTGGGAAAACGGAGAAGGGCTTTGGCTGGCATCTGGACCAGTGGTTGCCCAGCACTGCCCCTCAGGAGCAGTAGCCCAAGCCCCCCAGCTGACTCCTGCCCCTGCCTCCTCCCAGGGGACGGATGGACCCTGCTTAGAGGGGAGCTCCAGCACCATCCCCGCCAGAGACTCACTTGTGTGCCAGGCCAAGGGCCTGGACAAGGACACCTTCAAAATTGTGAGTAAGGGGCCAGCCCAGGACCCTGTCCCCGTTCCCCACAGGTCAGGAGACCTGGGTCAGTCGTTGGCAGGCCTGAGACTCATAGTTCACAGCCCCGCTTGACACACTCTTGGGAAGGAAGTGGGGTAAGAGGTTGACGGGAGCCTCCTCAACACTTCCTGGGCCATAAGGGTTGCAGCTGGGCCAACCTGCTGGCTCTGTGGGGCTGCCCAGCTGCCTCTTGTTTTTCCTGTGGCCCCTCACTTCACCTGTTGACTCCTAAGTGTAAAGAATGTCTAAGGCCGCTGAAGAAGTTCCTGCGAAGGTTGCACCCGCCGAGGGACCTTCCCCAGGAGAAGAAGCTAAAGTACATGAAGCAGAGCCTGGTGGTCCTAGGGGACCACATCAACACCTTTCTGCAGCACTACTGCCGAGCCTGGGAAATCAAGCACTGGAGGAAGTAGGGCAGCCTCCCTACCCTTACCACTACACTCACTCCTGGGCCGACCCCTCTAGAATCAAGGTCACACCTTAGTGAAAATCTCCTAGTTCTTTATCTTAGTGTGAAAGAGTCAGGATCCTGGAGTGAGCATGGTGAAGGGGGATGGGGAGAACAGGGTCTGCTTGCGACTCTGGGCAGCACTGAGTGGACAGAGGACTCGCCTGACCCCGGAGGGAATGGCCTCTGATCGAATAACTGCTGTGTGGTGTGGGGGGCTCCTCACCGATACAGGGTATCCAAGGTCTGGCAAATCCCCATTACTCCATGTCCCCAACCAAACACTAAGGAGGCAGCATTTCCCCCTGGGTGGTTCTGGCCACAGGACAAACGCTGGAGGGAGAGGGGCTGTGCTCCGCCCCCCTCAGCCTTGGGCTTGGACTTCTCCCCTGCAGGAAGCTCTGGAGATTTGTCTCCCTCTTCTCAGAACTGGAGGCGAAGCAGCTTTACAGGCTCTACAAGTATACCAAGAACAGCCAGACGGCCAAGTTCCCGGTGAGGTTCCTCCAGGGTCCAGCTGAGGGCTGGTTGGTGTGTTCTTAAATTGTGAGGGGAGGCCTGCAACTGAAGGGCGGCATTTGGGATCTTAATTCCCCAACCTGGGATCAAACCGGCGCCCCCTGCTGTGAAAGCCGGGAATCCTAACCACGGGACCACCAGGGAATTCCCTGAAGGGCCCTCTGATATAGCCAGCACCCCTCAGTCCCTTCCACACTCACTGCCTGAGGAAGACGCCACTGCCCCTGCGGTGGGCACAGAGAGGGGCTGAAGAGGGCAGAGACTCAGCTTCAAGTTCTAGATATTTATTCATCCTCCACACCCACACCCTGATGTGAACAGGGGCAAGGACTGTTCACAGTCCTTGGAGAGCCATGGGCAGGGATGATTGGGGCCAGGCAGAAAGGCACAGCCAGCTTGGGGGAGACTGGAGATTGTTGCAGAGGACAGAGGACAGAGGACAAATTCCTGGGCAGGGACTTCCCTGGTGGTCCAGTTGTTAAGACTCCGAGCTTCCAATGCAGGGGGTGTGGTTCGATCCTTGGTCGGGGAACTAAGATCTCACGTGCCATGAGGCATGGCCAAAAAATTAAAAAAAAAAAAAAAAAGATCCTGGGCAGGCTTTGTCCAAAAACAGTGCTTCTCAAACATTTTGGTCTTGGGTCACTTCTACCCTCTTAAAAATCATTGGGAACCCCCCAAAACCTGTATTCCTGTAGGTTACATCTATTGATATTTATTTGCCCTACTAGAAATTAAAGCTAAAGAAATAATTCAAAATATGTATTTACTGATTCATTTAAAAATAAAAACAAGGAGTCCATTATATATTAACATAATTTTTATGAGCGTTAACTATATTTTCCAAAACAAAAAGATTTAGAGAGAAGAGTGGCATTGTTTGACATTTTTGCAAATCTCTTTAGTGTCTGGCTTAATAGAAGACAGTTGGATTCTCATATCTGCTTCTGCTCAATCTCTTATGATATAGTGATTTGGTTAAAGTGCATGAAGAAAACCCAGCCTCATACAGATATATAGTTAAAAGAGAGGAGCAATTTATTACTGTTTTCCGATAATCGTGGATAGTTTTCTTTGCTACCACACCAAAACTCAGAAAGTGGCAGTTACTTAATGCAGTGTGGAATCTGAAACCATATTGATGAATGTTTTAAAATAGAATTAAAAAAATTTTTTTTAATTAATTTTATTTTTGGCTGCGTCGGGTCGTCATTGTTGGGTGTTCGCTCCTGTGCTTGGGCTTTCTCCAGTCGCTGCGAGCGGGGGCTACTCTTTGTTGTGGTGTGAGGGCTTCTCATTGCAGTGGCTTCTCTTGTTTCAGAGCTCAGGCTCTAGGCGCACGGGCTTCAGTACTTGTGGCATGTGTGCTCAGTAGTTGTGGTGCACAGGCTTAGTTGCTCCGCGGCATGTGGGATCTTCCCGGAACCTGTGTCCCCTGCATTGGTAGGCGGATTCTTAACCACTGTGCCACCAGGGAAGTCCCAGACATTTTTTTTTTAAACCAGTTTTAGGTTTACAGAAAAATTAAGTATAAGGTATAGGGTTAGCCAAAAAGTTAGTTCGGTTTTTTCCATATAATGTTACGGAAAAACCCGAACCAACATTTTGGCCAACCCAATACAGAGTTCCCATATCCCACCCTTTTCTGTCTTCCTTATTATTAGCACCTTGCATTAGAGGGGTACATTTGTATCTTTGATGAGCCAATATTGATACACTATTAACTAAAAAAATAATGTCCATAGTTTACATTAGGGTGCACTCTTTGTTTTGCACATTCTATAGGTTTTGACAAATGTACAATAACATGTATCCACCATTACAGTAGCAAACAGAATAGTTTCATTGCCCTAAAAATCCCCTGTGCTCCACCTCTTCATTCCTCCCTCCTTCCCCCAGACGCCTGGCAATCACTCATCTTTTTATTGTCTCCATAGTTTTTCCTTTCCTGGAATATCCATGTAGTTGGCATCATACAGTGTGTAGCCTTTTCAGATTTGTATCAATGAACTTTTCACACTAGGTTACATTAGAATCCATTGGTTTCTCTCTTGCACTTTGAGTGGACCCCACTTTTCAGGGGGTCTGTGAGGTTAGAGTATTTCATAGAGCACACTATGAGAACCACTGATCCAAAAGAATAATCACAGATAACAGTTTTTAGGTACCAGGCACATTATGTTCCCTCATGTCATCTTCAAAAGTAACACTAGGGCTTCCCTGGTGGCGCAATGGTTGGGAGTCCGCCTGCCGATGTAGGGGACGCGGGTTCGTGCCCCGGTCGGGGAGGATCCCACATGCCGCGGGGCGGCTGCGCCCGTGAGCCGTGGCCGCTGGGCCTGCGCGTCCGGAGCCTGTTGCTCCGCAGCGGGAGAGGCCACAACAGTGAGAGGCCCGCGTACCGCAAAAAAAAAAAAAAAAAAGTAACCCTAAGTGGTAATTAGAATTATTGTCCACAGTGTGTAAATGAAGGTGGTGAGGTAAAGTAACTTGACCCAAGCCACATAGCAAGTGGGAGGGAAGAACTGGATTCCAACATAATCTAGTTCAAAGGAAAGCCCCGCCCTGACCTCACCCCACCCACTGCTCTAGCTGTGCAGCCTTAACCAAATCCTCTCTTTCTCTGGGTCTTTATTTCTACCTCTGAACATGAATGAGTGGATTCAGTGATTCCCCTTCTGAATATAAGGAGCTGCCATTTTGGTGATTCTTGGATTTCAGCAGCAGGAAAATTTCAAAAGATGTTTTCAGGCTCTCAATTTTAATTTTGCAAAGGACTTTAAAACAAGTACCACTGTTTCATTACAAACACATAAGACACTATACTCAAAAAAGAGATGAAGGACATATCCCAACGGAAAGAGACACCCAAGAAGGGACAGTTGGCAGCCTGGTCTCAATGTCCCCATGGTCCCCATCTGTGGCCCTCCATCCTTCTGGCTACGCAGGTGTGAGGTGCAGTCGGGCCGAAGTTGTTGCCTAACAAGGGCAGGGCTGGGGCTCTGGCACATGGGCCCCTCTCTTCTGCTCAACACTGTGGCCCCCTTGCAGGTAGCCTTCTACCCTTTGGACATCCCGGAGAGCTCCTTGCCTGCCAACAAGGAGGACAGTCTGCCCAAGCTCTGCACTGCCTGGGGGCTGCACAGTCACCTCAGTGCCATGAAGGAGAGGCTGTCCAAGATGCATGCCCCGGGCCACCAGGTCTCCCTGCTCGGGGAGCTGAGAGCTGAGGGCCACAGCAGGAGAGGTAATGCCTGGAGGAGGGGCCTGTGTGTCCCGTGGAACACCTGACATAGTCTTCAATCCTCCTCCCCATCTTCTCTTCATCCCTTCATTTCTTTTACTTATTCATTTATTTATTTATTTATTGGCCGCACCACGTGGCCTGTGGGATCTAGTTCCCAGAGCAGGGGTCGAACCGCGCCCCCTGCATTCACAGCGTGGAGTCTTAACCACTAGACTACCAGGGGAGTCTCCATCCCTGCATTTCTGTTTTCTTTTTTTTAATAAATTTATTTATTTACATTTATTTATTTATTTATTGTTGGCTGTGTTGGGTCTTCGTTGCCGCGCACGGACTTCTCATTGCGATGGCTTCTCTTGCTGTGGAGCATGGGCTCTAGGTGCGCGTGGGCTTCAGTAGTTGTGGCACGTGGGCTCAGTAGTTGTGGCACACGGGCTTAGCTGCTCCGTGGCATGTGGGATCTTCCTGGACTAGGGCTCGAACCCGTGTCTCCTGCACTGGCAGGCGGACTCTTAACCACTGTGCCACCAGGGAAGTCCCATCCCTGCATTTCTCTTTCCGTCCATTTTCCTTCCCCCTCTCCACTCTTTCTTTTCTCTTTTTCCCCCTTTCCCCGCAGGTATGCTCATTATAGAAAGTTTGAAATGTACAGATAGTATAAAATAGAAGAGAGGAAAATTACCCATCACCCACAGGTATGACTATTAACATTTAGGTGTGTTCCCTTTACTGTTCTGTTTCATCCCAACCCCCCAACCCGGAGGTCTCAGGAAACATGCCTTCTTCAGTTAACATGTAAACAAAGCACTTTCCCGTACAACCAGAAGCAGAGCAGAGATGTTTCTAGAGGCTAAGAGCAGGGACTCCCGGGAAGTGTCCAAGCAGCAGCAGAATGTCCCCTCAGCTTTGGGCAGGGTATGGGCAGAGGAGGGGTTCATTCCACCAGGGAGGAGGCTGTCCAGCCAGCTGGCCTGGGAACTGACTTCCCGGCAGCGTTGGCCTCTGCAGTGACTGCATGGCCTGGCTCTCTGGACAGAGGGTGTGGGATTAGGGGACAGAGACTCTTCAGTGAGAGGGACCCCAGCCAAGGTTGGAACCTATGAAGGCCCCTCCTGTGCACTGAGGTGCAGAGAGGTGTTGGGCCACCTACCTCTCACCCTTCTGGAACTGGCTTTTTGCTTAGCTCCTGGGGGAGAAGATGAAGGCAAATGGTAGCCTAGGACCGCAGAGCATGGTCCTAAACTGGACCCAGGTGTTCCTCTGAAGGCCAGGCTGGCTGGGGCAGCCCTCAGGGCATCTTCACCAGTCACAGTCCACCAGTCACTTGGACCAAGTGGGAGGGCAAGAATGAGGATGGGTCAGGTACAGAGGGCCCAGGTCAGGCAGCTACCAAGACCCAGAACTCTGCCTGGGCTCTGCAGGGGCCCGTGGTCCCAGTGCCTATTGTTTAAATTGAGGAAGTAAAACATACAGTGGAATGAAGGCCAGTCCATCATTAATATGATGTAGGTCAGGGACTTCCCTCGTGGCGCAGTGGTTAAGACTCCGTGCTCCCAATGCAGGGGGCCCAGGTTCGATCCCTGGTCAGGGAGCTAGATCCCACATGCATGCCACAACTAAGAGTTCACATGCCACAACTAAGGAGCCAGAGAGCCGCAACTAAGAAGCCTGCCTGCCGCAACTAAGACCTGATACAACCAAATAAATAAAATTAATTACTTGATTTTAAAAAATGATCTAGGCCAAGCTGTCCATGAATCAGATGAGGATAGTGAGGTGCAGGCTTTTGGGCCAGCGTCTCCCTGTACCAAGAGCTTTGTATCTCTTAATTTCACCCAAACCCTGCAGCATCCTGATGAGATAGGCATTATGAGATGGGCATACCCTCCTACAAATGCACAATCTCAGAATACAGGGTAAAGGGTAGGTCTGGAGGAGGTAGGTTTGGGACAGGATTTAAAGAAAGGAATAAGGAGAGGGAGGGGGAAGGGGAAAGAGGTGGGAGGGACGTGTGCGTGGAGGTGAGGGGGCAGTGAGTAGACAGGCTGGGCTCAGGGGTGAATGGCCGAGCACATTGCAGAGGTGCAGGCTGGCGTGTAACAGGAAAAAGGCTTGGATGGTGGGATAAGAAATTGGGCTTGAAATTGTAATTCTTAAAATAACATTTTATTACAAGCATAAGCATATCCTAGAAAATCAGATAATTCAGATCAGCAAAAAATAAGAAAATATAAACATTGTCATCCAGTTAGCACTTTCCAGATGTTTTTTATGTATATAAATACCTGTATTAAACAAAAATGAGACCATGCCGTATATAGGATTTTGATTTGAACTTGCTTTTTTCAGTTATAGAAACCTTCCATGTTAACATCTTCATTTCATCTAATTGTTGAATTAAATACTCCACTTTCAAATTTTCCCAGCAAAGACATCTTTTGCACTGGTTTCCCAAACCCTGTGTTTCACCTGGTTATGTCTCTTAAGCCTCTTTTAACCTAACCGAGTCCCCTTTTTTACACCCTGGCCTGTCGAAGAGATCAGGCTATTTTGCAGAATGTTCCAATTTCTGCTTTTTTCTTATTACTTCCTTTTGGTATCTTTGAAGCTTGTTCTTCTATCCAGGAGCAGGATTGTAGGTCATGAGTCTCGATGAATTCACGTTAAACATGTTTTTGGCTGGGATATGTTACAGACGAGGCTGTGTTTTTCACATTGTGTTACATGAGAGAACACATATTACCTGGTAGAGCCACCATGACTGAGTGAATCACCAAGTCTATCGTGCAGTTAAAAGTGACCTGCATGGTGTTTCTTGGGCACCACGTTCATGAGTCAGTTCTTAAGGAAAAAGATGGCAACGGTGTTTGCAAACAACCCAGCAACAAAGTACAGGGAATTGGGCTGTGAAACTAGAGAGAGGAGTGGGGAGGAATCAGAGTCGGAAGCCAGAGGTCTAGTCCCGACTGTACCCCTAGCTTGGATTAGGCTTTGAACAGCAGCCCATTTCCTTACTCTGTGCCTGTGTGAGATCCCTCAACTGTAAATTGGTGGGATACCATCTCCCTACCCCACAGGGTTTCTGTGAGAAAAGAGTAAGGGACATAGGTTGGAAGCAAGATAAGATTTTGTTGTTCTTCCTTTGAGTCCTTACCATGCCCCCCACATGTTACAGACTGAGATTCTCTAACTATTTGTGATGTCATCAGCACTGTCTCTGACTTTCCCTTTTTCAGGTTCTTTAAGGAAACTTCCTCAACAACCAAAACTCAAGAGAAAGAGGATTAAGGAAGCCCCAGAAACTCCAGAGAGCTGCCCACAAGAATACCCAGCTGGGGCAGAGGGCCGGCTCGCCCTGGATCCCAGAGCACTTGTACCTGAGGGCATGGGGGACCAATGAGGGGAAAGAAGAAATTGTCTCTGTCAAAAGGATGCTCAGGTCTTAATTATGTATAAATGGGGCAAGGAAATAAACATCCTTAATACAGTTTGACTCGGCTAAGGTGGTCACTGTGTCAAGGACCATCAGTCTGGGTGGAGATACATGTAAATAGACATTAACACGGGGTGACACAGGTGCCTGGGGAAGACCTCAGGGGAGGTAACACAGGCACTGATGTGTTTGCCAGGGAAGAGCACAGGTGGGAGTGGAACGGGCCTGGGGTAAGTCAGAGAGTGATAACTCTGGCGCCTGCCTAAATCGTCTGCCCTTGATCTCGTGGGAAAGTTAGCGGGGGGACAGTGAGAAGGGAGATGCCAGGAATGAGCTGGTGTGACTCGGTTATCAGGCAAAGTGCACAGAAGTGAGAGAGAGTAGAGGCAGGAGACCAAAGAAGTCTTAGCTAGGAACTATACTCAATATTATGTAATAAGCTATAAGGGAAGAGAATCTGAAGAATAGCATACATATGTATAACTGAACCACTGTGCTGTACACCTGAAACTAACACGATATTGTAAATCTACTGTATTTCAATTTTTAAAAATTAAAAAAAAAAGTCTTAGCTAGGATGTTGGTTCAAACCTGTGGTCCAAAATTGGCAGCCCATGTGCTGAATTCAGACCACTGATGTGTTTTGTTTGCCCCTTGTGGTGGTCTACTTGTTTAAAACATTTTTATAAAGAAAGTCAGTTGCCAATATTAACTTGGTACATTTCACATTATAAACAACAGCAGTTTAAAAAACCGGCCACACTTGGACCTGTCTTCTCAAATGACCACACCTGGCTGGGGCTGAGACACACATGGGGCTCAGGTTTCACTGATACTCTTTCCAGTTCACCACAGTCCCCACCCTCCCGGTTGCCTTACACACTGGCCTTCTTCACTTCCTTTCTATCACCTTTTGATCCTTTTAGCCTTTAGTATTTGTTACCCTTAGGGTATATACAAATGCAATGAAGCTGTGCATGAATGGGGGAGGAGTGAATTTGTGAGACTAAGGTAAAGTTCACAGTTTTTGGTGACAGAAGTGGGAGATGAGAAAGGAAGGGAAGGGGAGGAAGTGAAGGTGGTACATTGTTTCTAGCTAGAAAGGCCATGTGGATGGAGGTCAATTCCAGGAGGAGAAGCCCGTCCAATTGTATTCCAAGAACACAGAAGAATCAGGACTCTGCTAGCGGCAGCAACATACAGTGCCCAGTATGGGCTGCAGCGGATGGGACCAGAACAAATGTGTGTGACCCTTTTTCCTTTCCTCTCTCAATTTGTACTCAGGAGTGAATATCATCAAAGATTTAAAATGTTAAAATGAATATCAGTCTAGACTTGAAGACCAAGTACAGGGAAGCATGAATAGGGAAGGAGGTGGCAGCCCCAGCTGCTTCTTTGTTCCTGGTACCCATTGCCTCCCAGAAGCAAAATGAGAGGCTAAGGCCTGGGATCAGCCTTACTGGGTGTTCCTGACAGTCCTGACAAAGCAGGGAGGATTTTATATGGGAGAAGAATCTGAAAAAGAATGGGTATATGCATATGTATAATTGAATCACTTTGCTGTACACCTGAAACAAACACAACATTGTAAATCAACTATACTCCAACATAAAATAAGAATTAAGTTTAAAAAAAAGAGCAGGAAGGATTTGTGAGAGAAGGGCAAGCAGGCTGGAGGGTAACCCTGACGACTGGGGGCTCTCCAATTTTCTCCACTCTGAGAGATTTCACTGACAAGTCCCAGGGAAAGGGCTGGCTGTCTGGGGAACGGGACAGAAGAAGGTGAACCCTGTGTGCGAGGCAGCACCGCCACCTAGAGGAAATATGGAACTCTACAGCCTTCTTCCCGTGGAAAGAGATGGAGACCAGGAGGAAATGGGGGAGCTTCCTACCAGCCTTGAGGACAATCAGGAGGCCTGAAAGCAAAATGGGCAACAGGTGAGGCTTCGTTTTGGCGGCTCCTTAACTCCTTCCTCAAATTCAGTAGGATCTCAGAATTCTAAAAAGGCAGATCACATGACATTGCTCTGCTCAAAACCCTCCAACAGCACAGAGGCTTTTTAGGGCAGTGAAAATACCCTAGATGATTCTAGAATCGTGGATACATGTCATTATACATTTGTCCAGACCCATAGGATGTGCAACACCAAGAGTGAACCCTAATGTAAATTATGGACGCTGGGTGATTATGTTGTAGCCATGCAGGTTCATCAGTTGTAATAAATCTACCCCCTGATGGGGGATGTGGGTAATGGGAAAGGCTGTGCACGTGTGGGGATGGCAGTATACAGGAAATCTGTGTACCTCCTGCTCAATTTTTCTGTGAACCTAAAACTTCTCTGAAAATAATGTATTAAAACAAACAAACAAGCAAAACCTTCCAAAAGCTTTTTCCCTCATGCATGTTAAAAGCCAGTCTTTGCGAGGGCCTGCAAGGCCCTCGATGATCTATCCCTGTCCATTCTGTTGCCTCTCTGCCCTCATCCTTGCTTTTCTCATACCTGTCAAGCATACTCCGGCCTGAGGGCTTTTTCACTGGCTGTTTCCTCTGTCTGGAATGTTCTTCCCAAGCAATTACAATAGTACCCAGCATGTAGCAGGCACTTAACACACATTTGATGAATGAATGATTTAATGAATAAATGAACCAAAATAGACCTTTCACCCAAACACCACCTGGTTCAGAGGGGATAAAAGAGGCCCAAGAGGAAAGGTTACTTCTCCAAGGTTGAGAAGGAAGTCAATGCCAGAAGGGGGACGAGAATTCAGACCTGATGACCCCAGGCCAGTACACATACCACACACCAAGGACACACGTTCCACCTGCTCTCAGCCAACATGCTCACTTCCCACAAAATGTCAGTAACACGCAAGACCCAACGTATGACTTCTCCTAGGATCGGCTGTATTTTCTTAGTAACAATATCTCTAAGGTGGACTTGGGGACACCAGAAATAGTGGGTGGGGGAGGTTATTTGGGGGTGGGGAGCCTTGGTGGAAACCCCAAACCACACCTTGACCTAAGCTGCCTGTGGATAGGCTCACCCTGAGGAACATGCCTCACTGATGGCTCCTCTCCTAGTGAATAGTGGATACTTTCCCTAAAGTCTCAAACAGAAGAGTCTCCTGACCACAGATGTAATGATTAACTGCTACCTGACCCACGCCCACCCCAGGCTACCAGAGTCTCCTGGCCGTCTTCTCTTCGTAATAACACTGCGGCAAATGCTATGACTCAGGAGAGATGGCAAAGTGCTTTGCATCCATTCTCCTCGGACCTTCATGTCAAACTTGTGAGGGAGATTCTACCCCATTACAGAACAGAAAGGAGGGGCTTAGGGGCTACCACAGCTGAATTGAGAGATGGACTTTCCAGGTCTCCTGACTCCACATCCAGTACTCCTGGGTTTTGACTTTACAATTTTTTTCCTTTGTGCAGGCACACATTTCCTATTTTTATATAGTTAAATGATCAGTCTTTTCTTTTAAGGCTTCTTTATGACTTCGAAAGGTCTTCCTCACTCAGAGAATATTTAAAATTCTACCTTTCCTTCTTCTAGCACTAGGATTTCAGTTTTTACATTTAAATCTTTGGTCTATCTGAAATTTATTTTGATTTAAGTTGTGTAATAGGATTCCAATATATATATTTTTCAGGTGGCTAAATGGTTATCCTTGCGCATGTGGGAATGTATTTATAGGATATAACATCATATAAGGGAAAAATCCACCTTTTCTACACTGTTTTGAAATGTCATCCTTATATATTAAGTTCCTGACTTATTTGGGTCTATTTCTGAACTTTCTGTTCTGGTCTATTGATCTGTCTGTTCATGTAGAGTTGGGTTTTAATGAAAAAGGAGAAAAAGATATACAATAACAAAACAGGATATGATAGGAAAAGAGTATACAGATTCTAAAAAGAACCAAATGAAAATTTTAAAATGAAAAATAATTATTGATATTAAAAACTTAATAGTCAAGTTAAACAGAAGACAACATCTGAATTCACAGATTAATCTTGACATCATAAAGCAAAATACTGTAACCAGACATTATGGGCCTCCAGCTAAGTAGTATGTTTGCAAAAAATTTGAATCTGATTAGATTTCTAGCTCTATCACCAGCTCATAGGAAATACAAGGGACTGAGGAGCACATTAAATGATACCATGGGGACAGAATCAGCAAACTCTTGAAGATGTGAAAATTCACAGAACAAACAAACCAGTTACTTTAATATATAAACTTCAAAGGGGGGAAAAAAGAGGAAGAGAAAATCTAAAAATTAAAAGAGATTGAAGAACTATGACCAAAGGACATAAGAGGACCATGTTTGCACCCTGATTGGAACAAACCAGTTCTACAAAAACGTTTCTGAAACATTCAGGGAAATTGAACACGGGCTGACAAATTTGATGATATAAAAGGATAAGTTAATATTTCTTAAGTGCGGTAATAGTATTTTGGAGATATATATATAAGGTTTTAAATGTTTTTTGGCCATGCTGCATGGCATGAGGAATCTTAGCTCCCCGACCAGAGTTTGAACCCCTGCCTGCTACAGTGGAAGCATGGAGTCTTAACCACTGGACCACCAGGGAAGTCCCTGGAGTTATATATATATATGTATATATATATATTTTTTTTTTTTTTTGCGGTACGCGGGCCTCTCACTGCTGTGGCCTCTCCCGTTATGGAGCACAGGCTCCGGACACGCAGGCTCAGCGGCCATGGCTCACAGGCCCAGCTGCTCCGTGGCATGTGGGATCTTCTCGGACCGGGGCACGAACCCGTGTCCCCTGCATCGGCAGGCAGACTCTCAACCACTGCGCCACCAGGGAAGCCCTACATATTTTTAAAGTCTTTATATTTTAAAGATAAACAGTAAAATATTTCTAGACAAAACAATGATTCTTGGATTTGATTTAAAATAATCCAGGACTTCCCTGTGGTGCAGTGGTTAAGAATCTGCCTGCCAATGCAGGGGACATGAGTTGGAGCCCTGGTCCAGGAAGATCCCACATGCCGCGGAGCAACTAAGCCCGTGCACCACAACTACTGAGCCTGCACTCTAGAGCCCGCGAGCCACAGCTACTGAAGCCCGTGCGCCTAGAGCCCGTGCTCTGCAACAAGAGAAGCCACCGCAATGAGAAGCCCGCGCACCGCAACGAAGACCCAATGCAGCCATAAATAAATAAATAAATTTATATATTTAAAAAACCCTCCTTTAAAAAAAAATAAGGTACTGTCTGGAAGTGATCACATTCTTTTCAAACTTTATATATCCTGTCCGGCTTAACTATTTTATGCAGTTGTCCAGAAATTTTTTAAAATTGTGGGAACTCATAGAACTTAACCATCTTAACTATTTTTAAGTGCACAGTACTGTTAATTATATTCATTGTTGTGCAACTGATCTCCGGAACTCTCATCTTGCAAAACTGAAACTCTACTACACCCATTAAGCAGCCTCTCCCCATTTTCCTCCCCTCCAGCCTTGACAACCACTCTTCTACTTTCTGACTCCTCTAGATAGCTCATGTAAGTGGAACCATCCAGTATTTACTCGCTCTCCTCTCCCTTTTGTGACTGGCTTATATCAGTTAGCATAATGCCCTCAAAGTTCATCCATGTTGTAGCATGCATCAGAATTTCCTTCCTGTTTAAGGCTGAAGAATATTCCATTGTATGTATGTACCACATTTTTATCCATTTTTTATGCGTTCATCCATTGATGGACATTTGGGTTACTTCCACCTTTTGGCTATTGTGAATAATGCTGCTATGAACGTGGGTGTACATATGATCATGACAATGGCTTTAACAAAGCTTTAAATAAAATGCTGCGTAAGTACCAAGAAGTGGCAACTCAAGCTTTAAGGGAAAGCTTCCCTTGTCCTTTCAGCTCAATGAAGGAGATTTTATGCAAGAAATGGCATTCCATACAACAGAGGAAATAGCATGTTCAAAGTCATGGAGATGTAAAAGGAAAAAAATTTAAATTCAGTATCACCAGGGAACTCCCTGGTGGTCCAGCGGTTAGGACTCCATGCTTTCACTGTGGAGGGCTGGGTTCAATCCCTGGTCGGGGAACTAAGATCCTGCAAGCCGCACAGCGCAGACAAAAAAAAAAGTTCATTATCACCAAAGGTGGCAGGTGACAAGTCAGTGCTGACTATTCCAAGTGCAGGTGGGATTTTGCCTAAATGTTGATCAATTTTCTTTGTAATCTTTTAAAATCTCGTTTCATTTCCTGAGTGCTTTAGATTCATGCTGTTTCATGGTGGATTTTTAAAAAGACCTAATGTGACCCCGCCATTCATAGGAGGAAATAAAACACAAAGAGGCTTATAATGACATATCTCAAATTCCTACTGTTGAGAGGCAGGGCTTGAACCCTAACCCACACCCAGGGTTTTCTCCATTGTCACCAGCAGAACTTCACCAGGTCTCATCACCCATTCTCAGCATTTTAGAGTTAGAAGACTAGGGAAAAGAGTGGTGTGATTAATTCTGTAAAGATCAGAAAGTCCCCTGCATTAATGCAGTGCTTATCGTTTCCAAAGTACTTTCACGAGCACCATCTCCAGATGCTGTTACCATGTGTCTTCTCTGCCACACAGCTCACTTTTGTTGAGCAAGAACACTGTTGTTCTAGTTCCAACAGTTTCTCTCACACTGTTCTCTAATAAAAAGTCTGTGATGTTTCAACAATCCCAAGTCCCAACCAAAAGTGAGCACAACTAAATTGGAAACAGATACACTATGAATGCAGGAACACTATATTTATTAAGTCAATAATTCATTTTTAGCAATACAAGTACAGAATATATCACAATGCTGATTACAAACATACTTAGTATGGTTTAATGGTTACAAATAATGGTGGGCACTACAAGTTTGTGATGAGGATGACATGAAAGGTCATTCTGACACAATGAAGAATTAACTGCCTTTAAAAAATCTATCAATGACCTTAGGTATTTCTATAGAAATTACTGTGGCACTATTAGTGGGGATTTTCATGTAAAGAATTGACAGTGATTTGCTTTTGTTTCATTAAGAGATTTTTGAGTCTATTAAACTAAAATCCCCTGTTGCTTAGTAAAGTATAAAAATAGTACTGACCTGGTAATATTTAATAAAACATAGCATTCATTCACATCATAAAAGTGGAACTAAATTGAAAAGTTTTAGTTACCATGGCAACATATCTTCCCATAAAAGAAATCTACAGAAATGAGTAATGTTACACAAATGGTACCTGCAAAGTTATTTAGTGATCCAACACTTGTGCACCACAAACCAAGTTTTCTAGATACCTATATATAGCATATATTTTTAATCTTAAATTTTACTTTTGAAAAAAAAATGTGCACTTCAAAAAACTCACTAAGGCCACTCATGCTATAGATGCCTAGGACTGTAATTAAAGAATAGCATTATTTTAAAAAATGCCAAAGCACACTCCTTCAGATCACCAACAGGGTAAAACCAGTTTTCTGCCTAAAACATTCCTGAGATCTGTGGACAATACAACTACTAGTGTTCAAGCTGGAGATTAATTCAAATGTCAGATAAAAAAAGGAATTTTCTAGCAAGAACTGAGGTCCTCCAAAGCCAAGAGGTGAAATATACATGTTAATTATTAAAGCAAAAATAAAACTCTTAAAAACGTTTTTACTTATAAATAAGTATTTTTCCAGTAGTAACTTTGCCATCCAGAAAAAGAACAGTTTGGAAGCAGCAAGGCTACAAATTCAGGGGAAAAAAACCAACAAAACTGAGTAGCAGTTAATACAGGTATCCTCCGCTTTCTGAAAGTTCACTTTATGCTACTCTGCTTTTATGAAAGACCTACATTAGCACCTGTTTTTGCTAACCAAAAAAAATCCAAAAGGATCTTCACTCTTACGAAAAAAGGTGAAAAGCAAAATTAGCATGCAGCGCTTGTTTTGCAGACAGCTGTTATAGAGGCAGTGGCACCCTGAGCGAGAGTGGCACTGCCAAGCTCCTCCCCTAGAACTACGCTCAGTATCTCAGCTTCAAGCCACAACTGTGCGAGTTTCTGTGCATTATCTCAATTTATTTTGTGCATCCATTAGCAAGACATGTCCTAAGGTAACTGCCTCTCTGCTGTTCACCTGTTTTGGCTTAAAGAGGTTTCATGGGAACGCTCTACTTTTGGATAGCGGTGAAAGCCTCTACCTGCTACTCAGCAAACCATTCTTTCAATCTGTAAAGTATGGCCAAAAGCTTCAATCATGTTCTAGGCATGTGTTTACTGTTCAGCATTCTGTCTGCACTATAAGGCGCAGCCAGATGGCACTCTCATTATTTATGATTGCAGCCGCTGGACCTGGTTTTCACAATATTATGAACCCTTCTCTAACAGGCTAAGAACAAAGGTCTTTGTCAAATCTTTCATTTTCACAAGTGAAAGCACACCTGTGTGGGGATTACCCCAAAGCAATAATGAGTTCATTTTTTGCTGAACAGAGGCAAAATTTGATGATAATAAGGGTCTTAATGCTTCAGGCAAAGTCAGCTTTGGGGACCCATAAAAATTATGGTCTAAAAAACCCAACTGGCTCTCCTAAACTGAATGTAGGAGTGACCGACCACCTGTGTGGCTCACGAATGTTACGGGGCTCCCTGATGCACCCAACTTGAGTAGCACCAAACTTTAGCAAAAAGACTGGGTAAGAGAGAAAAAATGAAAGCCAGGAAAGGATGAGACCAAAGGCCCCTTATTTAATATTACTTTGCTGAACTTCCAGAAAAATCTTTTAAGTTGGTCTAGGATTTCTGACACACAACCCCACCATATATAAAAAGTTTGTTCAAGCAACTGGCTATTGTGAGGTAATTTTATTCTTTGCTTTGAGATTTTGTCTAACCCCAAAAATCATGATGATATTTACCTCCCTAACTTATCCTAAACATCCCTACTGAAAGGATAAATCCCACACTTAAAAATTATTAGGGTATTATTCTTCATTAAAACCAGAAATAATAGCACATTAAGTTATATCACTAACAGAAACTGGCAATCTCTCTTTTCAACCTAGAGTGTCCGCATTAAGTCAAAGTATATGGATTTACAGAAAACTACATTAAAGCAGTGGCAATAAGGGGGAACTACCAATAATGACTTTTTTTTTTTTTAAGAAAAACTGGCAGCCATTTAATATTATCACCCTGTGATCCTAGGCTTCTAAATATCATGTTGCTTTATCACTGAGTGAGCTAAGCTGAGTTCAGACTGAATTAGAGAAGATGAGGCCTTAAGTCATTTGCTTGATTTTATCCTAGGAAATGCTACATGTGCACAAAACCAAAAATATAGATTAAAAAAAAAACTTCATATGAAAACATAAGTTTCAAAATATTTATTGAAAAACAATTTACCATGACATTCCTATACCACAAACATACCACAGGACTCTAAATAACCAACAAAAGTGTACAAAGCCTATCCTTAAAGTATCTTTGGAGGTATTAAATATATAGGCCCATGAGGATAGAGCTGAGTAACTTAAAAATGTTAGTCCTTGGTCACACAGACTATTTGGTAATTAATAAAGAGGTGCCTCTTGGCATTAGATTGTAATAAACTGGAAGGGGGAGGTGCAGGTGTGCCAATGTACTCTTTTCAAAATTAAAAATAATTCAATTTGAGGATTAAACCCAGGTTTCAAAATCACATAGCTATAATCTTAGGGTCTGGGCTTGCTTCATCTCTTTAGGTACCTCCCCTAGTCAATGCCCACTTGGGGACTTAAAAACACCGGCTCATAACTAACAAGACGGCAAATAACAGTTTTAAACAAGGTTGTATTTAGGAAGTCCAAAAAAGTGTTTAAAATCAAATTTATCTGGAATCTCCAATTACTTTTTCTGTAGTCAATGTGGTGGACAGTTTAGATTTTTTCCCCCTCCCACCCCAACATGCCTGTTAAAAGAAAACCAAAATTCAGCACACATCCACTCACCCACAGACCACTCCCAGCATTAGCCAGGAGCAACATCTCTAACAGCCAAGTCATGAACCCCTGAAAATAGGGGGGAAAAACCCTGATTCTTAACTATAGAGGCACCAAATAGGCCACTATAATAAGAACTGAGGTAACAGCAAAAGACCTTTTTGTTTCTTGGATTGCTACATGTCACAACTTCTCAAATTTGAACATTACCTCAACATCAAATAACCTGACTGGCTTAAAAAAAATCAAAACCCAATAAACAGAAAGACAAGTTAGTGAAATAGATAAATCATTAGGGGAATCTTTCCACTTGACTCTTGAATTTCAAATAAAATGACCTAGTTGCACTATTATTTACCATAAACATGAAGGATTTCTAAGAAGACTTGCTGTTTTTCGGAATTCATTTTTCCATTAATCCCCATAAACCACACAGTAACCTATAATTCCCATCTGGACATGAGCTATTTCATGACTCTTAGCCAATATACTTGCTAACTGTGTTGCTTATTAGGGTAACATTTAAAATGAGGGAGATGGCTGCAGCAGATATTTATAGACTTGCTTATGGCACTGCCATCTGTGTACCTTGACTAAAATATGCCACTGAAATTGCCAAATTCCCCTAGTTTGGTGTCTATTACATGAATATAACTTTTGCATGATCACTTTTCATTATACATCTAAATGAAATCATTCTACTGATAAAAGTATAGGCAGGGGCTAAAATATAATCTAAAGCTTCTGGTCCAAATAACCCCTTTCTACATTAGGCTGGTCCTTTTCAGATCCTCCTGGTCCTGTTAGCAAATGCTATCAGAGCATCTTGCATTTTTGTACCCCCAAAAAACACAACAAAACCAAAACAACCAAAGAGTTAGAACTGCTGGTTTATCAGCTTTCCTGTTACTTACAGATCAACACTGGTCCAGTTCAGATGAATCTGACAGTCCTTCCCTTGTAACAGAGCTCTGGAGTGGTTGTATCCACGTCTCTGGGTAAGGTAGCCAAACCTAAGTCTGGATGTCCCTCTTCTATTAGTACTTGTGTTAACTTTTCTATACTGCATATAAAGATTTTCCCCATAAAATTTCTTTACAATACAGTATTGAATACCTCCTCAAGGAAGAATTATATGTTAAAAAGTTGTTAAAATCATCCTTACATAATAAGAATGCAACTCTTTTAAACTCTTAAATAGTTTTATTTAGGGGTTCTACTTTTCTTTCAGGCTTTCTGCAAAATGAATTATTTTTTAAAAAGAAAAAAAAAATTCCTGTTGTTTGTTCTACTAGGTTGAAAATATGGGCCAGATTACTTACACATGCGGTACATGCTGAATATAACTGAATATATGCTTATTCCTATGGACACTCTGCAAGATAGGGATCACCCAAATAGGGTCAATGGACTGGACCAGTGTTTCAATGCAAATTCCAGCCCCGAAAAAACAACATGATTTTGATTTCACAGTATGAATTCCCTGGAATCTGGGAAAAGGTAAATTAGTTAACTGAGGTCCTCCCTCAGCAGCTCGGTCCCTCAACATTCTGAGAAATCAGGAAGGACTGCACCACTTCTTCAGTGGACTGGGGGCTGGTGTTGACATCTTCAAGAGCATCGGTCACTGAATACTGCCGATCTCGCAGCCGGTTCCAGTTAGACAGAACATTGTGATATTCAAACACTTTCTCGTAATTTCCAACGGAGTTGTAAAGTTTAATGAGACCTCGGTAATCATATTCTAGTCCACTGTAGCCTTCACCAAAAAGTTTCTTCCCTGAAAGTAAACATAGAAAGAAAGAAAACTCAAATAAATAATGAAATAACAAGTAGTTTCCACAACACAAGCTCAGTTCTTTAAAATAAGGTGGCTTCGTTTTATTCCCTTAAAAGGAATAGATTCAATTCTTTTATCAGCATTCACCAACATAGTCCTAACCATAATCTACCTCTAGGACTTAAAAGAGATCTAAAGAATGGCAGCACCTTTAACAGTAGAAAAATACATATGCACAAGGCTATTTATTACAGCATTGTTTATAAGTGCGAAATATTAGAAACAAATGAAGATTTGTTTCAATCTACTATGGAACATCCACTCAACTATGGAACATCCATTCAAGGCATACTATGCAGCTATAAACAGAGGAGGGAGCTCCCAGCTCTTTATGAACTGACATGGAGTCATTTATAGGGTATACTGTTGAGTGAAAAAAAAAAGCAAAGTACAAAAAAGTACCAAGAGTTTGCCACCTTTTATGTATAAAAGGGAAAATAAAATATTTATGTATCTGAACATTTGTGCAAAAAGATACACAGAAAATATGGGACTTCCAGGATTGAGCAAGGTAATATATTATGGATAATGAGCAATCTCACATACATGAATATATGATTTATTGGCAAAGGTAGCACAGCAGAGGGGAAAGGACAGTCCTTTGAAAAAATGGTCCTGGTCAACTGTATATCCATACGGAGGAAAAAAAAGGCGGGGGGTGGGGGATTTGATTGCTACCTTACACCATAAACAAAAATCAATTTCAGGACTGTGGATCTAAATGTGAATGGTAAAATAAAGTTTCCAGAAGATAATCTTCCAAAAGAGTATCTCCATGACTTTGGGGTAGGAAAAGATTTCCTAAACAGAATATAAAAAGTGTTAACCATAAAAGAAAAGAGCAACATTTGATTACATTAAAATCTAAGAACTTCTGGTCTTTGAAAGGCACCATTAAGAAGTAAGAAGTAGGGACTTTCCTGGTGGCGCAGTGGGTTAAGACTCCATGCTCCCAATGCAGGGGGCCCGGGTTTGATCCCTGGTTAGGGAACTATATCCCACATGCATGCTGCAACCAAGAGTTCGCACGTGGACTTCCCTGGTGGTGCTTTGGTTAAGAATCCGCCTGCCAGTGTAGGGGACACGGGTTCAAGCACTGGTCCGGGAAGATCCCACATGCCGCAGAACAACTTAGCCCATGCACAACTACTGAGCCTGCGCTCTAGAGCCCACGAGCCACAACTACGGAAGCCCATGTGCCTACAGCCCATGCTCTGCAACAAGAGAAGCCACATCGATGAGAAGCCCGTGCACCGCAACGAAGAGTAGCCCCCACTCGCCGCAACTAGAGAAAGCCTGCACGCAGCAACAAAGACCCAATGCAGCCAAAAATAAATAAATAAATAAAAATTTAAAAAAAGACAGAGTTCGCACATCACAACTAAGGAGCCCGCCTGCTGCAACTAAGTCCCGGTACAACCAATCAAAAAAGAAAGAAAGGGAGGGAGGGAGGGAGGAAGGAAGAAGCAGTAGAGTGAGAGTTATCTGCAACACATTTAACCAACAGATACATTCAAAGTATATGAAGAACTTCTATAAACCAATAAGAAAATGACAGACAAGTCAATATAAAAATGGGGAAGAGTTTTAATAGGCACAACATTCAGATGATGACCACAGTATCTTATTTTCTAATAGGGCTGAACTGAAAACAATTCAAATGTTCCAAATATCCATTAACAGTAGAATGGATTAAATAATGATATACTAATCCAATACAATATTACACAGCACTGGAAATTAACAAGCAACAGTGATATGAACAACACAGATGTATCTCACAATTGATGTTCACCAAAAGAAACCAGGCATATAAAAATATACATTGTATGATTTCATTTATATCAAGTTAAAAAACAGGCAAACTGGGTCTATGTTAAAATCAGAAGAAGGGAGAGGATGGGCTGGGGGTAGTGTTTACACAAATATTTAAAAATAACTACTTTTGCCTTTACTTGACACTCTACTGTCATATTTCTTACTAGTGGCTTCAACATCAATAAATAATCTTTAGCAAAATGTTTCAGATGATTTCTGAGTGGTTTCTGGATATCCTTAGCAGCTCTAAACTCATTTAAGTCTTAATAATAACACTTCCCTATACAACATATAAGACATGTTGATCTCTAATCAATTGACTAAGAAAATTTTAAAGTAACATACCAATTGCTATAGATCGCAGATAAAGTTTCTCAGCATTTTCATACTGATTCATGTCATAATTATATAAAGAAGCCAGATGTCCCACTGAAAGGGCTACTTCATAATCTTCTTGACCAAGAAGTTGCTCTTTAATCTGAATTGCTTTGATGTGCATTTCTTCTGCTTCCTGAAAAACAATTAAGGTGTATTAACTATTAGATTATACTTTTTCTTATGTCAACAATTCTTACCCCATGAGTAAGATTCTTCTAAATGCCAAAGACGTCTTATGGATGGCATAAGGTAATCTGATCAGAGAACACACTATATTCTTCCAAAAGTTGCCTATGGGAAGCCTTACTGGTTTGGGGAAGCTGTGCACATAAGCTGATGAAAGTAATAGTACCAAATGACAAATACCAAAATGACAAAAGAAAACCTGTCCTTGTAATAAAAGAAACAAAAGAAAACCTGTCCTTGTAATAAAAAATTGTTGGAAGAAATTAACATCAAAATATTCTAAGGTGAAAATTTCTTCTTTCAGTTAATACACTCTAAAATTTAACTGAACCTTGTTAAGAAACTCTACACTATAGTATGTTATTTTACATAGAAGTATACTTTATTTTATTTTTTGGAGTTTTGACAATTTTTATTCCAACAAACCAAATTCAGGGTAATTGAGAAATGTGTAAACTGATTTTTAGATAAAAATGAATGTCTTAAGCAGCAACTCTCATCCCTTCCTTATTGTGACCCTGTAATGGACAATAAGAATCTATGACTCAAAATTCTAAAAGGGAACTAAATTCAGTAAATTTTTATCATCACTACAATTAATAACACTTGCAATATCTTATATTTCTTACATACCTATTATGTGGCAGGCATTCTGCTAAGTGCTGTACTTAAACTACTATCTAAGAGCTATGTTTTAAGTCTAACTTAAACTACTAGCTAAGAGCTATGTTTTAAGTCTAACTATAATAACTGTTTTAGTCTTTATGGTTTGATATATTTATTTTTCTAGGGTCTGTATTTTTGAATTTTATTTATATTTTGACTGTCTTTTTTTAAAAATTTATTTATTTTTATTTATTTATGAATTTTGGCTGCTGTGGGCCTTCGTTGCTGCACGCGGGCTTTCTCTAGTTGAGGCGAGAGGGGGCTACTCTTCGTTGCAGTGTGCGGGCTTCTCATTGCAGTGGCTGCTCCTGTTGCGGAGCATGGGCTCTAGGCGCGCAGGCTTCAGTAGTTGTGGCTCACGGGCTTAGCTGCTCCGCGGCACGTGGGATTTTCCCAGACCAGGGCTCGAACCCGCGTCCCCTGCATTGGCAGGTGGATTCTTAACCACTGCACCACCAGGGAAGCCCCTGTCGTTTTATACTAGCCATTTTCTCAATTCTTATGTGAAATAATGTAGGAGTATAATAAATGTATACCTTATTATTTAAGATTACTAAAGAAGCATTATTTAAGATTTACTTATTATTTAAGATTATATTTTATTACCTAAGATTATTAAGAGAGAGAAAAATATAGTAAAATGTGCTTCTAACCTTAAATTTTCTCATTGACTGATAAAGTCTTCCAAGGTTTCCATAGTGTTTTGCAGTCTGTACATTAAATTCCCCAAAAGCTTTTTTAGCTAGCTGGAGTGAAGACAGGTGCAAATCATGAGCTTCTTGAAGCAACCTCTGTTCAGTTTCTTTATTATGACAGTCAATTGCAATCTCCTCTAAAATAAGTGCTGAATAAGAAGGCAATAAAATTAGTGCATTTCCAAACCATGTATCAAAGCTAATCAGAACATAAAATTTAAAACTAAATTTTACAGATGTTAGTTGTATATACTTATATATGCTTATGGTTTAGAACCATAAACCATATCCCATGCCACAGAACTGGTAAAGATGAAAGTATTCCATTTTAATGAAAAAATACACTTTTGGTCATTCTATTTTGCACAGTATAATGAATTTCAAATTTAAGAAAAACAATGGTATACAACAAATTATTTTGTAGAATTACTCTCTATTTTACCAGACCTGTTATGCTTTGCTGATGTGAATTTGTTGTTTAAGCAAAGGAAGACAAGGAAGACAAGAATAAAGAGGCAAAGTTTTTAAAGTTGTGAAAAAGTTGTCAAGGAGTACCTAAGCACTGCTGAAAAATTTGAAACCACACTTTGTAAATTATATAACCTTTAACCAAATACAACTAAAAGAACTGGTTTCCTCCTAACTCACTTGACCAATCAAACCAGTCAAGAAGATAATTTAACTTCAAAGTCCCATTCAAGACCCTCAAATTCCATTTAAAGTCTTAAAAACACATATTCTTTTACCAGGCAATTTTATTTCTAGGAAAATTGTCCATGTGCACAAAAGTAAAAAGAGATTTAGTTCACTGTAGCATTTTTAAAGAACAAAAGGTTAAAAAACAATTTAAAGGTCCAATAAGACAGGTGAGGTTAAGAACATTAGAAAAAAAGATATATACCTACATGTACTGAAATGGGAAAATGTTGATAATATATTAATTGAACAAAGCAGATTACAGAACTAAAAAAAATTATTCACTCATTTCAGCATTTGAAGAAAGAAAAGTTTAAAAGAATATTCACCAAAATGTTGATTCTGGATCGATGAGATTTCAGGTAACTTAATTTTTTCTCTTTTCTAACTTTTAATTTTTGACATTAATCGTGTATTACTTGCATGACTTTAAAAATGCGAACCTAGAGGGGAGGTAAAACCCAGTTCCAGAATTAAGGTAAAAGTTATCCAACATGCATGGAATTACCACATGGGTGACCCAATCATGTTGGCAAACTGAAAGCCTTGGTAGTGATTTGCAGAAGAGTTAATAAGAAGAAAGTGGTATGTGGTAAGAGCCTTACAACATTAAGGGTAACCTGATATGAAACTGAGTTTCAGAGGCTTGCATGATAAAACTGAAGGTATGAGAAAAACCCATCTTCAGTTTCCTACCCTTGTCACTGCACAGTAATAATTTGTGATTCTTCCATCCTCTCCTCAAAAGAAAGGACTGACTGAATGAATGAATGAGTGAAAGGAAAGAGAGGAAGGAAGGTAGGAAAAGGTAAAGAAAGAGGCAAAAGAAATGTATTCTGGCCTATTAACAATGTTATATGAGAGATGTGAACAACCTTTCATTATGAACCACTGTAAATTCTTAGAGTTGTAGGCAAATACTTTAAATCAGTGAATTGGCTATTTTAGTAATATGCAGTCTAATCCTGAGGAAATAAACAAATACCCCTATTTTATACCATATACCATCGATTTTAAAGTTATCAGAGAGTAGACATCTATTATAATTGACAGCGAAAGAAATCTTAAAAAAAAAACATACATACGTGTGTGTATATATATATATATATATATATATATATATATGAGACTAGATTACAAAGGGTACCTTTCACCCTCTTTGAAGAAGCCAAAAGAAGATGATCTTCAGGTAGGATGTGGGTAATGATACCAATAGCTCTTTCTGCATGAAATCTGCAATACAGATAGATATACTCTGGCATTTCTTTTAAGTTACAAATAATTTAAGCATTAAAAAAAATCACAATTTATAATACTGAATTTCTAAAACTATCTGTGGAAAAGGACCAGTTTTTTTTTGTTTTAAAGTTCCAATCTTTTGTAGACTGAACTTTTAAACATCCAGTGGATTCCCATCTCCCTCGGAATCAACTGTGAAGTTGCTATCACAGCCTATAAGGCTCAATATAATATGATCTTTCACTGGGCTACCTCTCTGACCTCATCTCCTACCATTCTCAGAAACAATCCTCTCTTTTCCTTCCAGGCACACAGGAACTGCAGTTTTCTGAACACGTAAAGCACGTGCTCACCTATGACTCTTGCGCTCGCTTTACTGTCTCTCTGTAATGGCTGTCCCCTAAATATCCACATGGCTTACCCACACTGAAGTTTTTCCAGACCAGCCTATACAAAAGACCCTAAAAAATCTACCATCACTCTTTAAACTCTTAGCTTACTTTATTCTCCTTCATAGCATGTATTCTCACCTGACATGTTTGGTTATTTGTTCATGGCCCATCTCGTCAAACAGAAAGCAAGCTGTTTGTCTATTTTATCTGCCAGATAATCTCAAACAACTCCACGCCTTCTATTCCCAGCGTCCAGGTAATCATTAGTTTTCTCAGATCTGTCTTCCAGTTCACTGTCTCTTTAGTTGTGTCTAATCTGCTGTTTAACTTGTCTACTGAGTTTTATTTTTGTTTTTTTTTTTTTGTCTACTGAGTTTTAATGTCAATGACTATTTTCCAATTCCAGCTATTATAATGTTTTTTGTAATAAAAGTGCTTATTAAGACAATTCATACCAACACAATTCACCCATTTAAAGTGTACAATTGAAGGTTTTTAGTATATTACAGAGTTATGTACCCATCACAATTAATTTCAGAATATTTTCATCACCTCAGAAAGAAACCTTGTGCCCTTTAGGAGTCATTTCGTTTTCCTCCAACTCCACCAGCCCTAGGCAACCACCAACTTACTTTCTGTTTCTACTTCTTTGCCTGTATCTAGACAGTTCATATAAATGAAATTATACAATATGTGGTCCTTTGTAACTGGCTGCTTTCACTTAGCACAATGTTTTAAAGGTTCATTCATGCTGTAGGATGTATCAGTTGTTTTATTTTTTTAATTGAAGTATAGTTGATTTACAATGTTGTGTTAGTTTCAGGTGTATGGCCAAGTGATTCGGTTATACATACATATATATCTATTTTTTTTTCAGATTCCTTTTCCCTTATAGGTGATTACAAAATACTGAGTATAGTTCCCTCAGTTGTTTTATTTTTAAATCTGCCTTTTTTCCTTCATTTTCCCTCCAAAATATTACTGATTCCTTCTTTTATATCAGCGCCAGCACATTTTTTTCTGTAAAGGGCCATATAGTAAATATCTCAGATTATGCGGCTACACTCTGTCCCAACTACCCAACTCTGCTGTTACAGCATCAAAGCAACCATAGACAATACATGAGTGCATGAGCACTGCTATGTTCCAATAAACCTTTATTTTGCCTTCAGGCCATAGTTTGCCAACCCGTTTTATATCTTTAAACATTTAAGAAACCTTACTTTATAGTATCAGCCATAAAGTTCTGTTAACTGATATTTTTAGTGTTCTAATCTTGATCATTATGTCTGCTGACTCACCCATGGGGGAAATGTTCCCTTATTTAAATATTTTTTATGATGAGTTCATCTCAGGTACAGCTAGATCTATGGGAAGTCTGTATGGCTTGGACGGAAGGTTAATTATTTCCAAGAGTTTTGCATTTTCTCCTGAAAAGCATCCCAGGAGAACTAGCAGTCCCAACGTGCTTCTTAATGTTTTCCTCAGTTTGGGGGTTCGTGCATGCATGATGCCCAAACACAACGTAGACATCTATAAATTATAAATTCCCCTGTGAGGCTCCTTTTTTTTTCAACTGAGGGCCCAACTTAAGTTGGACAAATTTCCATGTCACCTCTCTTGCCAGTGGGCAGTTTTTTCCCCTAGTCTACTCTTTCTCCGAGGGTGTAGCCTTGATCTTGGCTTCATGTGAGGGTTTCACTTCTAAGCCACAGCTTCCTATGGGCTAAATGCCTTGTCTCTTAAACCCAGGATTGCTGTTCAACCAAGGTTACAGAAACTTCTAAGCCTTCTAAGCCTTTCCACCCCAGAACACTCATACTGTAGTTCATGCCTACCCATTTTGGATTTTAGTCCATTACTGGCCCTTGGGGATTTCTTCTCTATCTTACAAGCTCAGTTATGCATTTAAAAAGATGATTGTTACATTATTCAGTATTTCTGCATGTTATGAGCAAGTTTTTAGGTTAAGTCTGTCATTTAACCAGACACTACTGTATTAGTCAAAGAAAAATTACTGAAGGAGACACTTAAAAAATAAGTCATATTCTATATGGAGATCTATGTCTCAACATTAAACCACATAAGATCTAAACAAATGGCTTATAAATTGATATGATTTTAAATGACTTCAAGAACATTTTAGGTATCTTGTTCAAGTTCCAGGAGGACAAATTTAATCCATAAGATACACTGAAAAGTATTGCATTAGGAAAAAACAAAACAAAATATAGCAACAGTATGTAATCCCTCACTGAAAAGGAAAGTGGAACTTACAGTGCATTGTCAAATTTCCCAGAGCTATACTGGTGAACATAAGAAGAATAAGCCAAGTCTTCATGAGCTGTTGCTACATGGATATTTTTGCCACCAAACACTGACTGCCGAATGTCAAGGGCTGCCTGAAAGAGTCATGAGAATAACTGGTAATACCGTGAATCCTTAAAAGACACTACCCAGTTAAATTAAGCATCCTAGTAATTTAAATATAGATTCTATATACTCAATCCCATCAGTTTTGAAAAAAGTCCTGCTGTATTTAAATCACAACAGAACATAAAATTCACCTACAGCCTGATTTTCTAAAGAGTAAGTTTGACTTAAAAGGCAATGGCTTAATAATAAAATCATTCACATGTCTTAGGAATTACATTAGTGTTTTTCTCTATGTCCTCTTCGGAAGTAAACTATAAAATCAAGGATACCTTGTCCAGAGTGATGGCATAACACATCATTTTCCTGAGGCTGACTGAGATAAGGCCTAAAATAATTGCTATCAAGCCTCCTTGCTACTACGAAGGCAGCTATAATGATTTGAGCTAAATCAACAACAAAGACAAGCCATCATCTCGGTAAATGAAAAATGGAAAACTACTCTTACATACTGACCCACAACCCCCGAACTTTTTTCCTGGATGACACTCTTTAATTCCTAAAACATTAAGTTTTAAGCCTTCTAGGTATTATTTAGTAAAATAATGGAGTACCATATATGAGGAAGGGCTCAGAAAGAGTTATTTTTAGACAGTGGTTTATACATCACAAATTACAGGTCAGCAAGTCAATTTAGGTTGAAAGAAAAAAAGTGTAACTATTAACATACCTGATAAATTGCAACAGACTGACAGATATTATCTACATTGAGTAAGTAGAACCCATAATCTAGCAGTGTATCAGAATATTTTGGGTGTTTGGATCCAAAATGATCCCTATAAAAAGATACAAAACTATTAGGATATAAACTAGAAAGAAACAATTTGAAATGGTATTTTTAATAACAATCACCTACCGTGCCAAATACACTGCATGCTTAATTAACTGTTCTGCCTTCTTAAATTCACGTTTTACAACACAAGCCTAAAGATAAAGTGAAAAATTGTTAAATAACTCTGAAACAGTTAATTAGTGTGTTGAAACAAGTATGGCTTATATTGATATAGTCAAACTATAATGGTTGAAAAAAGCATCTTCAAACATAAATAGAATGGTTCTATTTGTAATTTCTTTCCTTCCAAGTATTTTAAAATTCCATTATAAACAGATCTGTACATACCCTGGGAAATTACAAAACTTAAAATTTTGATAGTCATGCCCAGAACAAACCTGTTATAACACAGTTACCTTAAAAAGCTGGTATATTCCCATCCTTACATATTATTAAAACAGAGGCGGGGAGGGTTCACCGTATTATTTTCTAAGGTACTTATTTATATCCCCGTTCTACGGTGGCTTACAACTATTTTGTAGTTTTCCATCTAATAACTTTTAAATGCACAGAATTCCAAGTATTCCTATTACTTCTTAAAATATTTTGATTCATGAGACAGCCAGTAGTCTTTAACTGTAAATATTATTTGCATACAGAAATGTAAATCTTGCATATATATTAAGCTGTCTTTATATTAAATGTATATTCAATGTTTTAAATTAATTAAAAACATATTAATGTCTCTTCTAGCTCTAATAATAACCTGAATATTTATGCTGTTTACTTGCTCTAAAATGACTTATTTCATAAATTTCGCAGAAATCTTTAACTCTTCTAAATCTATAATTTTAGAATAATTCTTCTAATTGAAATTTCCATAAGTAAAACCAACCAAAATGGAATATTCAAAACTGAAAAACCTCTGGGTAGAAAGAGTATATCTGAAAAGTATATCAATGCTTCAAAGCCTCAGTGTACCAAAGCAGCAATTTTTAAATATTACTAAATGGCTTCAAAGACTTAATGCATATTTTTTTACAGAGTAAGAAGAAACTAGAGTAAAAATCAAATAAGTATTGCCTACCAACTCAAGAAAAAAAAGCTATCACACTGTGACACTGCCAATACTGTGACTAAAAGATTTAATACCAGGCTATTTTTTAGGAGAAAAGTGACGAAAGTCTATACAACCATGACAAAAGGAATTCAGGTTGCTGTAAAGGTTTAAGAAAGAAGCCAGACTTCTAAAACTGAGCAGAGAAACTTAGAATATAGACTTTGTTATCCATGAGTATGCAATACCTGATCTGTTAAACAGTAGGTTAATTTACACAAATTTAAAGCTTACTAAATCCTATAATCCATTTAATAATTTCAACATTATATTTACCTTAGAAGCTTGTCTTAAAACATCCACCACGACTTTGACTGGTAAGCCTGTTGTGATTTCTTTCATTGCCTCAATGCACCATTTGTATGCCTAAAAAATATTTACAGAAGAGCAAAACCTGTGATATATCAAATTGACAATATTTAATGAAGTGATTATGAATTTTTCCTGCAAGCTTACAAGTACTTGAATAAGAACACATATAAAATATTTACACTTAAAATTTTCTCTCAGAGGCTGAGTCTTCTTGAAAGTGTAAGTTTGTTACATTTTTCTTTGGATATGTGACACATATTCAGGAAATCAGAGGCATGTTCTTTGTGGCCCAGAATATACCGTTCCCTCTGCCTTAAAATACATTCCCCTCCGCCCTCCGACCCCTTAAACCACCTAAGTTGTCCTTCAGGTTTCAGCCCTAGACTAGGTTTCCTGTACTTTCCTTCCCCTACTGTAACACTAATTATTTTGTATCTTAATTGCTTGTTTAGTTGAGTGCTTACTTTGTGCCAATTATTGTTCTAAGCACTTAATGTGCACTAACACACACATTTAATTGACACAACATCCCTTTGAGATATGTACTATTATTATAGGAAAACGAGGTGCAGAGAGGTTAAGTACTAGGCAATGTGCTGGCACATAGGTATCTACTGGGGAGCACAACAGAAAATGTCCTTCGTCTCCTAGTGCTTAGTGGGGAAAAAAAGCAAAATAAATTACTTTATAGATAGTAAGAACTGCTTCAAAGAAACAAAATAATATTATGAAGGGATCACAAAAAATGTGGGGAAAACAAATTGAAAATATTAGAAAGTAAACATTTGTTTTCCTCTGTAAGCTTCCATCTCTTCCATTCCACCTAAAAGATGTAGCTATTCAGAAGCAATTTTGATACAAAAAGGAAATATATGAGATTTAGGCCAAAAAACCTGATTTGTTTGTAAGATACTAAATAAGCTGATTTTGTTCCAGAATAAGAAGGTAAAATCTATGGTAAGTTGTAAGTAATACTGCTTTTAAAATATTTACTGCCCCTCCTCGGGGAAAGATAAAGTTCTCTTCCACATTAAAGACGAGAATGGTTATGTGAGTTCCTTTAGCCAAAATATTAATTAAAATATAAGCAGAGGTGAAACATGGCATTTCTGGGAGAAAGCTCTAAGAACCAGTAATCCCTTCCCCATAATGCTTCTGCCTCTGCTCAAGGCTGGTAATGTTCTAGATACAGGCTGTTCCACAACGCAGGGTTTTGATCAAAGTATAGAGGGGATGTTAAGCAGAGCCACAGAGATCCCAAGATGGGATGTAGCATGAGCAAGAAATAAACTTTTATTATTCCAAGTCAGTGCTGTTTGGAGGTTGATATTACCTTAGCATAACCTAGCCTACATGGACTAATAACAGAATATGGTGATAATTCATCAAACTATTGATGTATCCTCAAGATTTGTGTACTTTTCTGTAGATACAACGACAAATTTATAAACTATCAAGATTATCCAAGAAACATCTATAGACTTAAATATTCCTCATGAATGTGCGAGTTGCAAAGATCATGAATAAGACACATTACGACACCCCAATTCAAATGTTCAGAAAGAAAATAACCGTCAATTAAATAGTAACTGCCTAGTAAAGAAAGTGGAAACTGGTGGGACTTCCCTGGTGGTCCAGTGGGTAAGACTCTGCCCTCCCAATGCAGGAGCCCTGGGTTCGATCCCTGGATGGGGAACTAGATCCCACATGAGGCAACTATGAGCCCGCATGCCGCAACAAAACACGCTGCAGCAAGGATCCTGAGTGCCGCAATGAAGACCCAGTGCAGCCAAAATAAGTAAATAAATAAAAATAAATATTAAAAAAAGAAAGAAAGAAAGTGGAAACTGGTGAATAAAAGGTACTTTTCTTCCACTGAATACATCGGTGAGTCTGGACATATTAAGGTGGGTCTGGAGCTGAGTACATGAGTAAAAAATGGCAAGACATGACTCACTTTATAGAACAGAAAGAAGGATGCAGGGCAGTATGAAAAACGAGGATGAAAAGAAACAATGAAAGAGGAAACAGAGATGGCCAAGATGAGGAGGACATATGCAGAGAGATAAAAAGATGGTGGGGCACCTGAAGAATTTTTTTTTCTTTTGGGTGTACCATGCGGCTTGCGGGATCTTAGCTCCTCAATCAGGGACTGAACCCGGGGCCCCGGCAATGAAAGCACTGAGTCCTAACCACTGGACCGCCAGGCAATTCCCAGAAGAACTTTTAAGGTAGGTATTTCTAATACTTGAACTGTTGCTGTTTACTTCATTCTCATTTCTAGTAAAGGCTATCCACACAAAGGCCCTCTGTGAATGGGGTTCTTTGTTTTTGGTGTGTGGAAATCATAGAAAGGGGCCAAATTCTATATCTGGGTCAATAAGCTATGGAATAGTCTGCATAAAAGGGGCGGCAAAATAATCCATCGACAGAACGAGTTCAGCAGACACAGCAACTCAGCATCAAAAATAACCGAAGAACTTACATAAACCTCCTGAGAAAATTGAGGCATGCTGATAAGGATCTTAGATTTTAACACATACACTTAACGACTTAAAAGAATTTCCCCCCAACTTTATTGATGTATAACTGACAAATAAAAATTGTATATATTTAAGGTGTTCATGATGACTTGATATACATATACACTGTGAAATGATTATCACAATCTAATTAACACATCCATCACCTCACACTGTTACCTTTTTTGTGTGTGATGAGCACACTTAAGATCTACTCTTAGCAAATTTCAAATACACAATACAGTATTAACTATAGTCACCACACTGTACGTTAGATCCTCAGAACTTACTCATCTTATAATGAATTGTCAAGCTTTCAAAAATAGTTAATGTAAACAATGAGGCATGCCTATTAGAATGGCAAAAATCTAAAACACTGACAACGCCAAATGCTAGCAAGGATATGGAGCAACAGGAGCTCTCATTCACCGCTGGTGGGACGTACACTGGTACAGACAGTTTGGCAGCTCCTTAAAAAACTTATACTCTCACCATTACGATTCAACAAATGCATTCCCTGATGATACCTCTTAGATAGTAAAAGCAGGATGATCCTAGCACTGGGATTGTAAACATCACTTCACAATTATTCTAGAATTCTCCAGTTTCACTTCTAATGGTGACTTTCTTTTAAATATGGAACATACACGTATTTATATTACGGGGTAAAAATTGAGATAGGGATAATTTTAAAATATGAAAGCTAAATGACAGCTATCTGACAGCATAAAGTAATTATGATATTCTTCCATAAATAAAGGAGTTAAGCTTACACAGCTCACTTCTCAACTATGTATTCATTAGCTCCAAAGCCTTAATTTAACAGTATAAAGCCAAGAATGAGGCTATCTTTCTCATAATGAAGAGACAGAAGCAAAACAATGCAATAAAGTATAAATAAAATCTAGGTTCCCACTGAAATGAATGCCTTCAAGTTATGAGAATTCACCCAGAGCTACACATCCAATAAAAAAGCACCTATTAAAGGTTCATTTAACAGAGCATGCCCTCAAAATAATTTATGCAGAGATACATTTGGTCAAATTAAAAACAAAAACAGGCTCTAAAACTGTATATGTATGTTTAAATTCCATCTCACAGAATAATCCTTTTGCGTAATTTAAAATATTCCATTACAAATGTATATTGCTTTAAGTAAACCTAATATGTCAAAATGAGATCTATTAAAACAAATATGACATTATATGATTTATCTTTTGTTTTATAGATACTTACTGGTCACAGTGAAATGTTCTTCAAAACACTCACCTCATCATAGTGACTTTTTGCAAATAGGAGTGCACACAGTTCTCCATAGAGTGCAGCTCTGTTTGCTTGCTGGCCATGTTTTGAGAGTTTATCCATGTATGTCTGAGCTAACTTAAATGTTTCTTCACCCAAATGATATTTGCAGTTTCCATTTCGCACATGAAGCAATCTGCAGAAGCACAAATAACATTACTCTATTTCTGATAGCTATTTCCAGCATGGGAGAACTGATAACCTCTTACTGATCACTATGTAGCACCCAAATGAGTTAAGGTCGCGAGACAGAAGAAATGAGGCAGCACTGGAAAACAACCATCCAGCTGAAGCTGGGACCAACTAATGCACAGAAAAAAGTATATGCTCGTTCCAGAAAGCTACCTATGGTTATCTCATCCAACTTTGATTCCTTATCTTCTCTAAATATTTTGTGCATTTGTGACTTACCATGTGCTACATCTATCACTTAATTCTTTTTGTTCCAAATCCCAAAGTAATGCAGTTTCATTATAAAAAATTTGGAAAACAATGAAGACAATAAAAATCAACATGAAATTCTATTACCTACCATTACTTTCCATTCTTTTTTTAGTATATTCGTGCAACCCTTGATCAGTTACCACTCATTTTATGTTGCTTCATAAAAGTTGTTTTTACTTATCTTTCCAGTAAGATAAGTTCACTGAAAATAGTGGTACTGCCAGTTCTTTCTTTTATAACCTTTATCCTCTATGGTGGAAAAATACAGAATTCTTTACACAAAGTATCTGTAAAACCATGCTATCTAGTTGTTGTTGGTTTTTTAAAAAATATTTATTTATTTAGGCTGCACTGGGTCTTAGTTGTGGCACGTGGGATCTTTAGTTGCGGCATGCGGACTCTTAGTTGCGTCATGTGAACTCATAGTTACAGCATGCATGTGGGATCTAGTTCCCCAACCAGGGATCGAACCCGGACACCCCGAACTGGAAGTGCAGAATGTTACCCACTGGACCACCAGGGAAGTCCCAAAACCATGCTACCTAGTGATATGTAAGAGTAGTAAAATGCTTTTGGTCAGAATGAGGTCAAGATAGCAACAGACTATACATCTGTACAGACCATACAAGACAGGAGAACAGAGTGAGGACTGGACATATATTTATGTATCTATTATAATGTTGGCTAAAACATTATGTCCATATATCATGCTAAACATTATGTCCATGTATCATGACAATTTTCTGAAAATGCTCAGCCCTGAGATGGAACAAAATATAAATGTAATTTAAAAGAAAACCAAGTATTAAAAAAAGAAAACCAAGTATGAAGAGGTTAGGAAGCATTCTTCAGGAGTATTAAATAAAACCCAGATACTTAAAATCTAATTTTTATATCTATTCCAAAAATATTAACAGATCAATGACCCAAGATGAGAAACACTCTTAACAATCTTCTGATGTCTATCATTCCATTGTACAGTGAGAAAAAAGAGAGTACTTTTAATTAACTTTTTTAAAAATTGAAGTCCAGCTGATTTACAATGTTGTGTTAATTACTGCTATACAGCAAAGTGACTCTGTTATACATATATATATATATATATATATATATATATATATACACACATTCTTTTTCATATTCTTTTCCATTATGGTTTAATCACAGGATACTGAATATAGTTCCCTGTGCTATACAGTAAGACCTGTTGTTTATCCATTCTATATATACCAGTTTGCATCTGCTAATCACAAACTCCCAATCCATCCCTCTCCCGCTCCCCTCCCCCCTTGGCAGCCACCAGTCTATTCTAAAAGAGAGTAATTTTAAATTATCAGTACTATTCAATAAGGTGGCAAATATTACACAATGCCACTGTGTATCCTCCCAACACTCACAATACAGTTACCTGCTTTTAGAAAAGACTAAAGCCCTCAAATAAAATAATACAGTATTGAAGTTAATAAAAAGTTCTGGGGACTTCCCTGGTGGCCCAGTGATTAAGAATCAGACTTCCAATGCAGGGGACGTGGGCTCGATCCCTGGTCGGGGAACTAAGACCCCACATGCTGCAGGGTAACTAAGCCCGCATGCCACAACTACTGAGCCTGAGCACTCTGGAGCCCGAGTACCACAACCAGAGAGCCCGCACACCACAACTACTGAGGCCACACGCCACAACCAGAGAAGCCCGCATACCGCAATGAAGAAGAATCTGCACACCACAACGAAGACCCAGTGTGGCCAAAAAAAATCTGAATGGAGTATCTTTCATATTACAAAATTTCAACTTAAAGAAGAAATAAATATAATTATCAGGCAACTCTAGAATGGTGAGTTGATTAGATTTATATTTTAAAGCAGAAATATAAAAGTAGAAAAAATATGTTTTGTATACAGGCAACTTTTCATGCTAAAGTAAGTATACTCATACAGAATAAAGAGACAATATCACTTGACAGTCAAATTGCTGATCTAATGACCAAGCAGTCTGCAGTGATCCCTGTCACTATGAAAAAAAAGTGAAATCTAGTAAAATATTATAGTAAAAAGAAATATATACTTCAGATGATGAAGTTTTCAGAGACTCTCATAGTCAAGTATTGACTGAACACCTATATGTGCCAGTCATTCCTATTTCTCTAGGTGCAAGGGATCTAGTGGTAAACAGGAGAGAAAGAATCCATGACCATAAGAAGCTTCATTCTAATAACGGAGGCACTATACAATGGGGGAAAGACAGCCTCTTCAATAAATGGTGTTGAGAAAACTGGACAGCTACATGCAAAAGAATCAAACTGGACTACTTGCTTATACCATAAAAAATAAATTCAAAATGGATTAAAGGCTTAAGTGTTAAGTCTTGAAACCACAAAACTTCTAGAAGAAAACATAGGTAGTAAGCTCTCTGACATCAGTCTTAGTAATTTTTTTTTTTTGGATATATCTCCTCAGGCAAGGGAAACAAAATCAAAAGTAAACAAATGGGACCACATCAAACTACAAAGCTTTTGCACAGCAAGGAAAACTATCAAAACCCCAAAAAGGCCACCTACTGAATGGGAGAGGATACTTGCAAACGATACATTTGGTAAGGGGTTAATATCCAAAATATACAAAGAACCCATAAAACTCAACATCAACAAAACAAACAACCCGATTAAAAAATGGGCAAAGATCCTGGGTATTTACCCAAAGAAAACAAAAACACTAATTAGAAAAGATATACGCACCCCTATGCTCACTGCAGCATTATTTACAACAGCCAAAATATGGAAGCTACCTAAGTGCCCATCAACAGATAATGGATAAAGAAGATGTGATATATATACACGATGGAATATTAGCCATAAAAAAGAATGAAACCTTGCCATCTATAACAACATGGATGGAACCAGAGGGTATTATGCCAAGTGAAATAAGTCAGACAGAGAAAGACAAATACTGTATGACTTCACTTATAGGTGGAATCTGAAAAACAAAACAAATGAACATAACAAAACAGAAACAGAGTTACAGACAAAGAGAATGAACAGGTGGTTACCAGAGGGGAAGGGGGTAGGGAAAGAAATAGGTGAGGGAGATTAAGAGGTGCAAACTTCCAGCTGCAAAATAAATGAGTCACAGGTATGACATGTGCAGCACGGGGAATACAGTCAATAACTGTAATATCTTTGTATGGTGACACATTGTAACTAGACTTATCTGGTGATCATTTGAGTTGTACAGAAATATCGAATCACTATGTTGTGTAACAGGAACTAACATAGTGTTGTAGGTCAATTATACATCAAAAACAAACTCATTGAAAAAGAGATTTGTGATTAACAAAGGTAAGAGGTGGGGGGAGGGGGAATCGGATGAAGGCAGACAAAAAGTACAAACTTCCAGTTATAAGATAAATAAGTACTAGGGATATAATTTATAACATGATAAATTAACACTACTGTATGTTATATATGAAAGTTGTTAAGAGTAACTCTTAAGAATTTTCCTCACAAGGAAAAAATTTTTTTCTATTTCTTTAATTTTGTATCTGTATGAGATGATAGATGCTCACTAAACTTGATAATCATTTCGCAATGTATCTAAGTCAAATCATTTTGTTGTACACCTTAAACTTACACAGTGCTATATGTCAATTATATCTCAATAAAGCTGGAAGAAAAAAAAAGCTTCATTCTTAGTGGGGAAAAGTGTATTAGGCAGACACACACCAATTAAGTAAGACAAAGATAAATGCTACGAAGATGATAAAAACGGGGTGATATGATCAAAGCCTTCTTAAAGGAAGGGCTTAGGGTAGATAGGGAAGAATTCTTTTGCAGAGGTAACTTAATGATGAAGAGGCAATCATGGGGGAAGCATGTTCCAAAAAGAAGGAATAATGAGTGCAAAGGCCCTGAGAAAGGGAAAAAAGTTCTGGCATAATCAAAGAACAGTAAGAAGGCCAATGTGTCTGGAGTATTTTGAATAACAGATTATATAAAGAGAGATGAGAAAGTAGAGAAAAGAAAGATTTTTATAGGGTCTTACTGGCCATGGTAAGTTATTTTGGTTGCAAAAGTGAGATTACTTGATTTATGCTGTAGAACAACGCTATCTAATAGAACTTCCTGAAATGTTCTATACCTGCTCTGCTCAATTTGGTAGCCACAAGTGGCTACTGAGTATCTGAAATCTGCCTAGTGTGACTGAGGACTGACTTTAAATTTTTAACGTTAATTAATTTTTTTTTAATTTTAAAAATTTATTTATTTTTGGTTGCATTGTGTCTTCGTTGCTGTGTGCGGGCTTTCTTTAATTGTGGCAAGCAGGGTCTACTCTTTGTTGCGGTGCACGGGCTTCTCATTGCAGTGGCTTCTCTTGTTGTGGAGCACGGGCTCTAGGTGCGTGGGCTTCAGTAACTGTGGCACATGGGCTCAGTAGTTGTGGCGCATGGGCTTAGTTTCTCCGTGGCATGTGGGATCTTCCCGGACCAGGGCTCGAACCGGTGTCCCCTGCATTGGCAGCATATTGTTAACCACTGCGCCACCAGGGAAGTCCCATAATGTTAATTTAAATAGTCACATATGGTTAATAGCTACCATACTGAACAGTGCAACTCTACAAAGATTGCTCTGGTTGCAGTGTGGAGAATGGATTATAGTAAAGCCAAGAGCGGAAGCAAGGCAACCAGGACAGAAGATATTA